CCTGCCTAATGCCCCACAAACAGCACGGGCTTCTCACAAACACAGGATTAGGGTCAGGTTTGAGCAGCCATGCAGGAAAAAACAAAACCATTTTTGGGAGGAGTGATGGCTGCTGGATTACGTAGCGGGCTGCATCGTCCTCTGTTAGGATGGATGCGAGTGACAGAAATGCGCCAGGTCTCAGATTAATGCAACATGAGCAGAGGTCCAACTGTGTGTGAAAGAGCCGGTGTCAGAGGTAGTCACAGGGCTGATTAGCTCTAACCTGGTGGATCATGTAGATGATCAGCTATCTTCATATGGTAGCAGCTGATGCTTCCGTCTCATACCAACCTAACGGCGTTTCATCCGCGACTCCTTCTCCTCTCACCACACACCCCTAAGCCTTCTGGAAGCCTACCCACAATGCACTGTGAGGAAACAGTGTCTTTAAAATTGGAATGCAGCCTCAGGCAGCGAGCTGAAATCTTCACAGACATTTTAAAAGCTGTTATTCCTGGCAGATGCATTCTGGCACCAACAGTGGGCGACGGCAAGGCTGTGGAAGTGGTTTGGACGTTTTGTGGGTCAGTCCCAGTTTGGCTTCATAAGCATGTTGACCTGGCCACGTAGGTGCATTCGCTGCTTCATTTCTTCTACTTAAAGCTGTTAATTTACACCCAAACAGCAGAGCTCTGTACGGCTTTGAGGGATTACTTCATACCGTGGGAGTCAGATGATTGACAGGAGGCGAAGCGTGATCACAAAAGATGTCAGCGGTCGGTGACAGTTTCTGTTTCCCACCACATCAGCCAGCCTGCCAGGACGCATTTATTCAATCAAAGTGTCTGGATTAGCGCTCTTGCCCAATAAGAGAGCTTTCATTTGACTATAATGGAAAATAATCATAGAGTCAAACTGTGTTATTGATTTCCTGAAGCAGGAAAACAGTTTTAGGGACAAAGAAACATGAAAAATCAGACAAAGTCAGGCTAAAGTCGGGCTAAAATCAGGCTAAAGTCAGGTTAAAAACAAGTAAGGAGCCAACAGTATTCATGAGATTATTTCTCTGCTGGTTGGTAACACGTACCTTAGGGAGATGATTTTTGTTTTACCACCTCGCTGAAAATAAATGTAGATTATTGATAATACAGGCGTCTTCTAGACACCACCTAATCAGGCTAGACGGTGGTGCAGTTGTTAGCACAGTTGCCTTGCAGTAAGAAGGCCCTATAGGTTAACTATTGTTAACCTATAGGGCATGTTGTGGCTGCATGGTGGCGCAGTGGTTAGCACTGTTGCCTCGCAGCACGAAGGTCGCAGGTTCAAAACTCGCCTTTCTGCGTGGAGTTGCGTGTTCTCCCCATGCATGCGTGGGTTTCCTCCGGGTACTCCGGTTTCCCCCACAAATCACAACATGCCCTATAGGTTATGAAAAAAAAAAAAAAATTGTACGTCGCTTTGGATAAAAGCGTCTGCCACATAATCATGAAAATGAATCATTAGGGTGCAGTATCTCTGGATTGTGTTAAGGTTAGGATGCAGCATCTCTGGATTATGTTAGGGTAGGGTGCAGTATCTCTGGATTATGTTAGGGTTAGGGTGTAGCATCTCTGGATTATGTTAGGGTTAGGATGCAGTATCTCTGGATTATGTTAGGGTTAGGGTGCAGTATCTCTGGATTATGTTAGGGTTAGGGTGCAGCATCTCTGGATTATGTTAGGGTTAGGATGCAGTATCTCTGGATTATGTTAGGGTTAGGGTGCAGCATCTCTGGATTATGTTAGGGTTAGGATGCAGCATCTCTGGATTATGTTATGGTTAGAGTTAGGTAGCAGCATCTCTAGATTATGTTAGGGTTAGTTAGCAGCATCTCTGGATTATGTTATGGTTGGAGTTAGGTAGCAGCATCTCTGGATTATGTTATGGTTAGAGTTAGGCAGCAGCATCTCTGGATTACGTCACTGAGCGTTAGAGGAAAATGGCCGAGAAGCAGTGAGCCGCCGCTGAAGTGGGTCGTGGGTAACACGTTGCCATGGCAACTGCCATTTGCCGGCCCTGGGGCCAAGAACAGCTCTTCACATCCACGTTCTCATCGTTTGCTCTGATCTTTCCTCGCTCTCGCTCTTCCCTCACCTTCTTTTCTCTGTCTTCCTCTTCTTTTGCCTCATCTCTCCTTCATCCTCTCCCAGTCTCATCGCTGCTGCCATCCCATCACATTCCTGAATCCTGGAAAGATCACTGTTTAGCTTTTCCCTGCAGCAGGAAGGTGTTTAAAGTATTTTCTGTTCGTTTTATTGCCTCTGTGGCTGAAATGAGGTGGGATAAGTGAGAAACCTGTTAAAATGATGGATGAGACCATAATGGAACAGGAATATAACACTTTGTCTCTGAGATGAACTCCAGCTGCTTCCATAAGAGCAGCTATGGTTTTATTTCGGAGCCAGAGCAGCGAGGATGACAAGACGGCGAAGATCGAGGCAGCGAGGTAGAAAACGAGGCAGATCAGTGTGTCACCTAAATTCTGCTCTAATGAATAGTCCATTGATTCCCATGAGGCCCGGCTCGGCCTGACCACTCCGGCCTGTCTGTTTCCCGTTAGCAGGCTTTTAGAGCGAGGCTGACAGTCGTAGCCGGAGGCAGCCAGGAGAGTCGGTCCAGCTCAGTGTTCAGAAAACCGGTGAATCCATCCGTGAAGCTGCAGGGAACCAAAGCTGGAATATCAGGGAGTGACTTCAGTCCCACGGATGAATGAAACTCCTGATCTAAAGAGGAGGACTCTCATAGGAAGTGACCATTTAACCACCTGACCCAGGAAACCCGGCCCGGTTCTGGGCTCAGGGTTTTAGAGACTTTATCAGCTCCATCCTCCATCAGCCCCTTCCTTCATTAGCATGACCAGGATTTGGATCCATTATGCAACAAGCCTCGGTTTGTGTTATGTAAGCCTTCATCAGCAGCAGCTCTTAGATTTAAAGATGGTTGTTTCTTCTTAGACACCGAGCAGCCACCTGCAGCTCCTATCAGCACCGGGAACGTCATCGCAGTCCTGGTCCTGGAGGGTCAGTATCCTACAGGTTTAGGGCTTTCTCTGCTCCAACACACTTCAGTGGTTGAATCACCTGCAGCAGCTCATCAGGCTCTGCAGAAGCATGTTGATCACCTGCTGATTAACATCAGGTGTGTTGAAGCAGGTTAAAACTAAAACCTGCTGGATACCGGGCCTCCAGGACCAGGATTGGGCACCGGTGGTTTAGAGACCCCATCTGACGGCATGTGATTCGTCAGTCCTCTCCTGAATCTGAACATTTAAATAAAACTGCCCAAGCTAACGTCCTGATGTCGGCGAACTCTCAGAGAGCGGCGGAGCTCGCCACGTTATTCTGACTCATCTCAGATTATCACTGGATCTTTTGGGATTTATTCATAATCTGAGTTTGGAATGACTCTCAGCTCCAGAAACTTTAGCTCAACATAGGCTAGATCAGCTGAGTGGCAGCCATCTTGAATCAGGTCATTCCAGCGCTCTCAGTCATTCGTTAATCTGATAAACCTGACTTCAGCTCTTTACGTGTGACTTCACCCACCTGATGGCTGAAGCTGCTGAAGTTAAACAAAGAGATGAAAAATCTCTACGTTTAGTTCATTTCCTCTCGGCCCAGAGGTGTTATCGATGCCTGCTCGTCCCCTAAGGGCGCCTAAATCAATCGGCTCTTTTAAACTGTCGATAAAAGCCGCCCCCCTCTGAGCAGTCCTGTTTAAATCACATCACTCCTAGACCCGCGGAACTGGGTCTGTCATATGAGCATCAGAGCCAGAACCCCGACCCGATTAGCTGTCCGGTTCAGAACTCATCACACCGAAGCAGAAACATTCAAACGACTAATGAACATGAGATGATGGCGCTGCAGGGCTGCCAACTGGAGCAGGTTGCCATGGAAACGGAAAAGTGGCACACACAAGGCAGTTGGTTTTGGGTTTTCTCCTCTTCCCAGAGTAACTTCCTGCTTTTGCCGGAGGAGTTATTTTTAACAATGGTTATATAAGATGCGGCTCTTGTGCAGGATGCTTTTGTTCCCTGTTTTGTTGGTTTTTATCCTCTTTACTCTGCCGCGTGGCGCATCAGTGCCACCTGACGTCCCAGGCTCATGACTGATGCAGCAAGCTGCTACCTTAATGGAGATCAGGTTTACTAATTCATCATCATCACTCTGTAGGCTCAGCTCAGAGGAAGGGAGGGTTGAGTTTTGATAACTGCAAACTTCTGACGGCTAATTAGCTAATTCCTCTAAAACCCAGATGTGAACGTGTTTGCTCTCCCTTTGACCTTTAACTGTAAAGATTACCATAGCAATGAGTGTTTATTATGGGGTGTTGATTTTAAAGGATCATGCACAAGAACTCACTACAGAGCATTTAGTCATATTTCAGTCCGCCTACTAGTAGAAGCTAGCCATTAGCATTAGCGACTCCAGCACATGGAGGAACTCCTTCAGGCTCGTGTTCCTAGTGGAGATAAAACATCAACGTTACATTTTTTACTCCCGAAGGAAGAGCGAACAGCAGTAGATGACATTTCTCAGACATCAACTTGAAGCTAAATGTGCTGAATTACAGCTGTTGTATTATTAGCTGTATTACGGTACCTTCGACGCCCCATAGCCAGCTGCTGCTGCTTATTCTAGGGTTATGAGTTATGAGGAGAGCATTTTCTGTAGCTCACATGTAATATTCAGCACCCAGAGACGAGCTGAGGACCTCTCTCTCTCTCTGTGTGAACGATGCCTGACACGCCTGACGCCTGTAACGCTGCTGAAGCGTGTCTGATTCAGTCCCAACGGTGCTCACACATCCCCACAGGTTTCTGCTGCAGCACAAAACAGCAGTGGAGGTTTGCTCCGAGCGCCATCAGCAGAGTCACATTCACAGCTCAGCCTTCAGATTTGACCTGGTTTCTGAGAGATTTTCCAGCTTCCTGCAAGACAGTTCAAACTAATCCGTCTCTTTGCCGCCCCCTGCAGGATGCTCCGAGTGCTGCCTGAAGTGTCTGGGTGGGGTGCCCTACGCCTCGCTGGTGGCCACCATCCTCTGCTTCTCAGGTGTGGCTCTGTTCTGCGGCTGTGGCCACGTGGCCCTGACCGGAACCCTGACCATGCTGGAGAACAACTTCTCCAGGGTCACCAGTGACCACGCTACCCTGGCAACTGTGTAAGTCCTCAGGGATTATAATCCACATGACAAACAGTACAAATGTGGCTCATAAACTGCACACGTGTCCCGCATGTGTCTCCAGGATCCAGATCTTTCAGTACATCATCTACGGCGTTGCCTCCTTCTTCTTCGTCTACGCCATTCTGCTGCTGGGCGAGGGCTTCTACACCACCAGCGCCATCAAGAAGGAGCTGCAGAGCGACTTTAAGACGACTGTCTGCGGACGCTGCATCACCGCCTTTGTATGTCTTCGTACCTCCCCTTCACGTTGAAGCCGATGGATGAAACGAAACATGTTTCAGTTAACATGTGATTTTATGAGGCTGCTGCAAGCGTGGAGAAGGGTCTTAGCGTCGGCGAGGTTGTTTTATTTAAGCACATGCATCTTCTCTGAGCCTTCAGGGTAACTTTGGCAGTTTGTCCTTTCTACACTGATGAGGTTAATGACTTCAGACGTCCAGTTACATCATCTCAGACTCTGACTCATGTGTGGGTGGACGGTTGAGATCTCCAACAAACATCACATCTCTTTACCTTTTTCAGTTCATGTTCCTGACCTACATCTTCGCCCTGGTCTTCATCGCCATCTTCTGCTTCACGGCCATCCCAGTTTTCCTCTTCTTCAACATGTGGAACACCTGCGCAGCCATGAGATCTCCGGATTCCAACATCACGTCTCCGAACTCCGTCTGCGTGGACATCAGACAGTATGGTCAGTAGCTCGTGTGTTAGCATCTTAGCTGCTGTCGATAGCCCTCTGAACAACCTCAGTTTGGAGAAATGGATTACTCCTCATTTGACTGACATGCTAACGGCTAGTCTTAGTGGGAGCCATAATGAAAACTATGATCTCCAGACATTCAAAGTATCCCATGAAAACACTAAACCTTTACATTTTACTGTTACACCGTGGTTTTCATAGAACTCTGCTTTTCACTAATGTAAATTGGCTGCTTAGCTAGCTACTTTAGCATGTCTGCTCATAATAATCCTGCTGGGATCATCATCATGATTTATGACGTTTATAAAGTAGTATTTGTAAAACCTGCTGACACTGGGTTTATTCCAGGACACCCCGGTGTGGCTAACGGTTAGCTTGTCTGTTCAATCAGGATCTATTGCATTTTAGGTTCTTTTTTCAACACAGGAAAGGTTTCTTTACCTTGCTGACAGTTTCAGATAAACGGAGAAGGAAGTGACACCGCCATTAGCGGTTAGCTCTGATGAAGACCACAGGAGTGGTTGAAACTGTCAGCAAGGTTAAAAAAAAACTTTTCTGTGTTAAAAAAAGAACCTAAAAATCAATCAGAAGAAACACAGAAGAAATATGCAAAAGAGGACAAATCTATGTTTCTCCAAACTGAGGTTGATCAAAAAGATGCCTACAACCAGCCAAAATCCACTACGACTGATTAAATGAGTGATCAAATGAGTCTTTGATTGGTTAGGGTAAACAGGAAAACCAAACTGCCGTAACCTTTTCTCCTGAACTCATTAGTTTTTCCCTCTCTGCTGCTCCAGCTGTGGTTTTCAGGCTTCATTTAGTTAATGACGTTATGTTGTTATTAGACTGGATCAGGTGTGCTGGAGCAGAAACGGGTTATGAGTATAAACAACGCGCCTCTTTCTTGTTTGATGTAACATTTAGAGTTCAGACACGCATGCAAGCTGCAAACAGGAAAACGTTGAATTGTGTTAAAATAATGTCTTCTATTTAGCTTTTTTACCTTCAAACCTAAAACTTCCTTTTTCACCTCATTAAAACCACTTCAGCTACATAAAAAAACGCTTTTATGCCAGAATAGATTAAATAATCTGATCGGATCTCCGTCTTGCAGCTTTGCAGATTGCTTCTGTGTGTTAATGTACAGCATGTGACCCACATTTAGAAGACAGCTGGCCTGTTTGCAAAGTCGGATCACATATGTTGTAGTATTATGCTGCATGAAATATTAAGCCCAATTACTGGCACCAGTGGAGTTATTGTAGGAAAACAATCAGACATCTTTTCTGCATTTAGTCATTTTCTGCTGATTGAATGAGGAAGGCGTGTGGTTGGCGTGTTTTTTAGCTTACAGGAGAAAATCCGTGAGACCAGAACGATGACCCATATTTGTCCAGCAGCCTGCTTCCTGTAATCTCCATCTGAGCCTGATTCGTGAAGCAAACATCCCACAGTCTCTGGGGTGGGAGAAGCATGCTGACGGTTCGTCCCTCTGATCCCACAGGTCTCGTCTCCTTGAACGCTACACCAGGAAAAGCTTGTGGAGCCACACTGGGAGATATCTGTAATACCAGCGAGGTGAGAAGGGTGGACTCCTTTTATTTTTATCCTTATTAATTGATGTTTGTGCTTCCTTCACCGACTTCCCTTCTGCTTTCCCAGTTCTACCTTTCCTACCACCTCTACATCGTGGCGTTAGCCGGCGCCGGAGCTACCGTCATCGCTTTGGTAAGCTGCTTTGATAATAGACTGCTCAAAATATGCACGTTGCCAAGGCGTGCTTATCTGTTGCTATGACAACCCCCGCCTCTCACGTATGTCATACTATCAGCTGAAATCCTGGCCTGTAGCCTGCAGTGTGTGTGTGTGTGTGTGTGTGTGTGTGTGTGTGTGTGTGTGTGTGTGTGTGTGTGTGTGTGTGTGTGTGTGTGTGTGTGTGTGTGTGTGTGTGTGTAGGTGGACTGTTTGTGTGTGTCCAGGGAAATGATGATGCTAAAAAGATAAAACCTGTTCCAGACTTTGATCTAGTCCTGTTAGGTGTTCTAAATTCCAGTTAAACATTATTTTTTATGTTCATCTTCTCAAATAAAACCCATTTTTGTGGTTTAGCCACGCTAAACTCAGTCCAGGTGGGTTTTCTAAACAATCTCAGTGGCGGCAGCTACTTTAGAGGATTTATTGGCTTAATTGACTCTCCGCCCACCACCTCTAGAACGTCTCAACTCTCAGATGGACGTTTGAGAATTAGCTGCTCGTTATGGAGCCCCATTAGGGCCAAAATTGAAACTAGGAGGCTGCATCCATTTTGACGTCAGGCCTCGGTAAACGGAGACTACGCAGTTGTGTTAGCATTGGAGAGGCTAACGACTAGCATGCCTGGGCTGATTGCAAATACTTTTTAAAAATGGTTAACATGTAAAATCTGGATCCAGAGGGCGACAGGCCTAGGCATGCTAGGTGTTAGCCTCTCTCATACTAACACACGTGAGTAGTTTTATCAGATCTGCTCAGGACCCTGTCCCTGCTGATGTCATCACACTACACGATTGGCCGAATGTTGGCACGTTAGCGTGAAGATTCTGGTTTGTCTGGACAGATTGGCTAAGTTACGTTAACATAACGTGCCCAGCTAGCCAGATCTGCTCCTGGTTGTAGTTTTGTTGGTTGTTCTGCTTCCAAGGAAACACGGACGACTTTTACAAAGATTCATTGTTTGCTCATGGGAAAATGGGTTTGGGGGAACTGTTATGAAATGGTGTTCTTTTTAAAATAACTTTATTGAACAAATAGCAATGATGTAAGAACAAATGAAGTAAACAGAAGTATTCAATGCTGTTATTAAATGTTATTAACAGCCAGGGCTGTTAAATAATTAAAGGCGTGTTAGAATTCATACACTTGAATTGTCTTATTTTCTGTTGGTAGAGTCTGATATTGATTTTAGTGCTTAGCTGGTTAACAAAATGTGGTGCAATGTGGTTTGTTTGTGTGGTGTTGCTGTAGTGGGATGTCAGATGTAGTACCTAGACCACTCTATCGTTGATCAGATCAGTAGCTAGCTTCAGAACAGATACAGCCTCCTGCTACACGGATGCAGCATCGCTGGATGTGCAACGGTCTTATTTTTAGCCCTAATAGGTTCTTCTCGTGTTAATAAAAGTTAATGAACGTTAGCAAATGTCATCAACAATATCTAGAAAGACAAATTTCATCACTGCAGAAATTCAAGTGGGGACCCCACAAAGTTCTGAGAGGGCCACAAACAGCCCCAGGCCACAGTTTGGACATCCCAGGGTCACCTGATTAGGATGCAGCAATCTGCAAACATTATTTTTGAGGGAGTGTCTGTAATGTCTTCTGGAAACCGCCTCCATCCCTTCTCAACCTGGTTTCCATAAGTCGGAATGTTCCACAGCATTCGGAGGTGTCGGCGTTTCCAGCTGGAGAACATTCCCTTTCCACTAAAACCAGAAGCTCCAGAGTGAGCTGTTCCTAAACACACTTTTGTCTCCTCCCAGATCCACTACCTGATGATCCTAGCGGCCAACTGGGCCTACCTGAAGAGCGCCGTCTCCACACACGAGTACCATGACATCAAGACCAAGGACGATCAAGACCTGGAGGCTGAGGCGCGCTCCAAGGAGGGCCAGAACTCCTCCTCCTACTCATAAGGACATGACCTCCTCTCCCGCCATTGTCCATCTCTTCTCCAAACCTCTGTCCCCACCCCACAACACCTAACCCCCTCCTTGGGTCATGTTCAGCAGTCTCCCACCCTCCTGATTCTCCATCCTCTTCCCTTTCTGCGATGGTCCAAGTGGTGAGTGCGTTTGCTCACAGCAGAGAGGAAGAGGGTAGCGGGTCAGGAGACGCGGCGGACGGAGGTAGATGCTTCAGAACGGGAGGGCTCGCCCGCCGGGGTCGAGCTCAGGTACGGTAGATGGGTTCAGAAGCGCCTCCCCCCCCCCTTCCCTCGTGCTTTTGGGCGGCGGCTCGTGAACGTGGCCCGGCTGTGATGGCCTAGCGCCCTGAGCCAACTCAGCCTCTCGATACACATCAAACAGCCTAAAAAATAATGTTCACTGCCTGTCGCTGAACGGCCAGATAGCAACCGACTTTCTGTTTTATTTGGTGTTTTATATACATATAAATAGATATGAATATAAATATATGGTGTGAATGTGAGTGAGTGTGGTTTTCTTTTTTATTTCCTCTGAAGAGTATGCCAGCTATCGTTATGATTATTATGGTCTTTTCTTTTCTCTCCATGTTTTCCTTTTATTACTCGATACATTATTGCACTATTAAAATAAATACGAACAGTAAGGGAGAACTTTCAAATCCCTTAATAACCACACCTTCCTCTAACTGGATTAGGATTACGGCATCTCGAGGATTATGGCGATTTTTACATGAACAGAATTTCTTTAAGCATCAGATCAGAAATGAACAAACGTGTTTCTATGCCTTCGTGTTGGACAGGTAAAAGCCAAACACTTTATGTTTAATCCACATTCTTCACCAGCTGAAATAAAACATTTCTGGGTCTTAAAGGAGACGCACACCTCAGGTATCAAACCCAATCTGATTTCTGTTCTGTTTATCCATTTGAACCCGTTCCAGATGACTAATCTGTGCTGTGTGAATTATACAACACCTGTAAATAATCCCACCTGTCCCTGAGGAGCCCGTTTTGGTTTGTTTTTCTCCACACATGTATGTAAACGTACCTTTGACACGTGTGTTTAGCACTGATTACTAGTTCTGCATTTGATATAATAATTGTACCGTAACATCTGAGATGCTTTGTCGTGAGAGGGAAACAGTGCAGTTATGATGGATTCAGGTGATTGTGACGTTTTAAGATGTGACAAAAAAAAAACATTTTTAATATTTATCAGTTTCAGGCAGCTGTGATGACGTATTTGACTGAATCTGTTTGCTAATTTTAAACAATTAGCCAAAATAAAAAGTCATTTTCTTGTTTTTTATTTTGGGATTTTGACGCCATGCCTCATAAAAGCCACGACGACTGTTTTTGGATGTTTACACTCTGAATAAAAATGAGTCAGGAATTTTCATAAATGCATTTTCTAACCAGGTCTGGGTTAATATTTGTGTATTAATCACTCCTGCTGACTTTTCCTCCAAAAGGTTGAGCGGTTTCTGCTGAGGTGAAGCATGTCGGTATTGTCCCTGTGACCGCTGTCAACTCTGTATACAAAAGGACTTTATTGTGTTTTGTTTAATAATTATTCGCGCTTTGCCGCTAGGTTGATGTAAAAAGGCAGATTTGAGTTTCCTATAAGGGTGTTGTTGTTACCTCGTTATTTGCATGAAGGAGACATGAGTGTCTTTGCGGTTTTCCAGGTGATGTGTCGTCATTTGTACTGGCAACTATGGTAGGCGATGTTTGCCCCCCCACCCTGATCTTTTCTATTAAAAAAAAAAGAAAAAAGAGAAACTCCATTGTACTTTGATGGCATTGTAGTCCCCGTAGGTGTTTCATTATTCTGGTATTCTTTTCTTAAATTGGGATTAGTTCTCAGACTCCTATATAGTGATGATTTTTGTAACCTTCTCTAGTAAAACCGATATTTTTTATTATCGTGACACGTGTGCGTCCTGCCTCTTTATTTAACCTGTGTGGTTTTCATGGAAACCAAAACTTCATGTCAGTGAGACATTAATCTAAAGAAGTACGCTTAAACTCAAAAGCCAACATTTCAGTATTTTACTGACAAATAAGTCAAACAGAGACGAGCCCTAAAATCTAAATATATCATAAAAGTGTGATGAAGATCCAAGAGAAGCAGGTTAAATGTCAATAATCACTGTGTTTTAAGTGATTTTAGCAATGAAGTGATGCAACACATAGTAAATAATATAGTACTTTAGATTTATTTAAACTTTCATATAGAAATAATCCTAACAGATTAAAGTTATAATCTTTGCTAGATTATCTGGTATTGTTTAGATTTACTGTTGCTCTGTTCATTTTATTTCCAGCTTTTTATTCACATTTTTGCCATTTATCTAAAATAATGTGTCCAGGTAATTGTGACAAAACAGGCGATCTATTCTTGATCAACAGTATCGGCTTAATGGATTTTTCACAAGCAGGAATATTTTATACAGTTATCGGGTTGGGTTTGGACTAAATCATATTCATGGGGTTTTAGTAGTTTCTAAGCAAACCTCCTAAAGTAAGTTGAACCAAAGTTAATCTTTTAAGCATCAGTCCCAGTAACTTCAGGTTTAAACTGTTTATTTAATTTCGTTTTAAACGACATAAAATAATCTCAGATGGTTTCCAGCTGAAGGTGATTAAATAATCCACAAAACGTAGAGATCAAAACAGAGAAATTGATTACAAACTCGGAGCATTTGTTGACCAGAGCTAAGTGGCAGCCTGCTACTAGCTACTGCTGCTAGCAGGTGATGCTATTTTAGCTCACTGAGAGCTACTTCCGGTGGTGACAAGAGGCCGTTGTTTTGACCACGTTGACCAAAATAATGTCAGACAACCTGAATTGCATTTTAAACAGGTTTGTCTTCTTAAAGACCTAAAACTGCAAAACACATTAGCATTAAAATTAAATAGCAAATGTACGCCTAACCGAGCTAAACCAGCAGAGCCTAAAGTTGACCCGTTGCGCCTTCACGTGGTCAGAAAGCGGTCCTGCTGCTGGGTTTTAGTTTGAATTCAGTTAAATCAGGGTTTGGAGTTATTCTCCTTAAAGTTGTTTTGCTTTTACAAACTTCACCTCAAATAAAGAAACAGACTTTTGAATGTGGTTCTTAAATCAGTTGTTGATTAGCTGCAGAAACATTCAGCTTTCTTAGGAGTCAAATACAGTAAAACCACACGTGTAAACAGTACTTTTACTTTTATAAACTACAGTACATAACCACTATAACTTCATTATGTAACCTTCAGATTAGTTTTGGGTAAATTAGACCAAATATTGAAGAAAAAGATGCTTTTTCAGATGTTCTCAGCCTACTTGGGCTTCGTTTAGAGTTGTGGTGAGTTTTACGGACCTTAGGTAGAGTCATTTTAATGTTCCAACTGCACATGAGCCTTCTAGCTTGTGTTACAGGAAGTACTTGTGGCAGTTTCTCTTCAGCATGACCCGCCATGACGAGAAATCATATAAAGGTGATAAAAATGTGCATTAGCTCCAATCGTCCCTTCAGGTCTTGTTGGTCTTGGTGTTTGTCACAAAAACCTCTTTAAGGTTTGAAAATCTTTTTGTTTTTAAAAAATGTTGCAGATTTCTTGGTGCAAATTTGCTTTAAAAGACCATAAATCATCTGTTTTGGTCTGAAACACAAAGGCTGATGAGTAAAAAAGACGCAACCTTGGTTTCCTCTTCCTGTGACCTCCGAACCCCGCGAGGCTGGGCTCAGCAGCAGCCAGATCCTTGACGACTCTTCTTCTGCAGATCGACTGTGTCTGTGTGGATCATGTGATCATCTCTGTTGTCTGACGCCAGAACTCGTCGAAAAGCCTCCTCAAACGCTGAGGCTACATTTGTAGCGTCTTTGGCGCTCGTCTCAAAGTACGGATGTCCACCGTTTTCGCGGCACCACTTCCGAGCGTCGTCCCCGGACACCTGGCGTTCCGGAACATCCAGTTTGTTTCCCAGGACCACAAAAGGGAAGCTGTCCGGGTCCTTGACATCAGCGTAGTAGGAGAACTCCTTCTTCCAGTTGGCCAGGTTCTGGAAGCTCTGTCCGTCGTCCAGACTGAAGGTAAGGAGGCAGCAGTCAGAGCCGCGGTAGAACGGCGTGCGGAGGCTGCGGAAGCGCTCCTGTCCCGCCGTGTCCCAGATCTGCAGGGTGACACGATGCCCGTCCACCTCCAGCTCTTTATTGAGGAACTCCACGCCGATGGTGTGGAACAGGTGGGCGTCAAACTTGTTGGTGACGTAGCGGTTCATGAGAGACGACTTACCCACACCACCGTCACCGAGGAGGATGACCTTCAGGAGAGCAGACTTTGACATCCTGGCTTCTAGAATTAATAATCCAGTTCAGGACACCGCCCTGAAGGTCTGGAGTCACCAAACGTTCCGAACTGAGGAGGAAAACACATCCAGATGAATTAGAAAGCAAAGAACTCCCAAATGAGAAATTCCAGTCAGCAGCTATAATCCCAGAGTTAGAAGAGTGGGGAGAAGCATTTTTAACCAGCCCAGTCATTCTCCTAATCTGGCTGTATGCAGTTAGCTTTAGCTTAGCATTAACAGTGATAACATCAAAAAAAGTCATTTAGGACTTAATCTCATTTCAAAGCAAGGACATGTCAGGTTAAATAAACATCGTCAATCCCAGTTTAGCTCTTTCCTGGGAAATCCTTAAACTTTGGAATAGATGAAGACGTTTTATTTTCCAAAATAAATCAGTAATCTGATTACAACCAGGATGTGGTTTGTAGTTTTAATATTCTGAGATTAGAGACAAACCATCATAAAGTCTGGGATGTTGGTATGTTAGTAATTTACCTTCGTCCTTCCTCAGGTGTTAACTTCAACTGTTTCTGGATCATCCAGCTGATTCAAGTCAATCCAGTTCTTAATCCACCGTTATGACATCATCAACTCCCCACATGTATGCAGAGCATCACATGCATGCTGATCACAGGACCAGAAGAGGAAATAGTAGCTGTTTAAGATGAACACAGAGCCGGCTCGAAGTCATGAGTCCATACTAACCACGACTCGAGAAGAAAAGCACAAGAGGGCAGCCGCGGCGCTCCGGAACCCTCAGTAGTCCACAGAAAATGTCCAACAAGGTCACACCTCAGATTTATCAAACAAACTTTCTATTAAACCTCCAGGGCCACCATAGTTACAGCTCTGCTGCTGCAGATCAATCATGGGATTTACAACTCCTGGATTATTCTCTGTGGTGGATTTTCTGTCCTGATTGAGGTTATCATCCTGCTGCATCGAACAGTTCAGAAAAAGGCAACTTCGTTTATTTATTTTCAGCCATTAAAGAACTGATCATACGGGTTCTTTATAAAAAAATAATAGGCAGCAGAACCAGAGATGGATTAACAAACGCGCGCACACACGCTCAGCAGTCATGTGCTTCACTCAGCTGAAGAATCAGCTGCTCTGTGACACTTTCACAATAAAAACCCATTCGTTCACTTTATTTAAACCTTCAAAATAAAATAAGTGGTTCTAAACCAAAATAAAAAACAGGAAGTAGAAGAAGCAAAGTAATGATTTACAAATGAGAGCTGATTCAGCGGAGCAGGGACACGCCTCAGTCCTTATCAGTGACATAAAAGATGAAAAAGAGCTTTTAATGGAGCAGAAAACACGGAGGCGAACATGTAAACAGGCTAAAGCATCAAACTCCTGCTATTTTAGAACGGAGGCTAAAATAAAAGTTTAGACGCTACGGGACGACATCTCCGTGATGTAATCACCTCAGATGAATCAGGTCGGTAGCGTTTAGCACTTATGTCATTACACGGGTTTGTCCGATAATGGAACTTTAACCGCCAACTCTTGTCCGATAATGGGCATGCTAATAGCTGCAAGTTTCAACTGTAATTTGAACCGATTAAACGACTATTATAATCCAGGGTTCAAATGACTACCTCTCCGTGCTGTTGCCCGTAGGGGTGGTGCCCGTTGTCGGACTGAACTCCTTCCGTTTAGCCCGGCAGGGCGCTGCAGTCGGACGGTGACATGTCTCTCCGGTGTCCCACCGCTGCTCTGGAACTCTGGAGCAGTATATCACGCTCACATGACCCGCTGATGGCCACGCCCCCTCCGGTCAGGAGGTTCATATTGGGCCGCTGCAGGCATGGCTCATTTGGTGCATGGTTCTTATGGCCCATATGGTGCATGGTTATAAACTAGCTAGCATACATAAGATGTAACTTTTTTTAAAATTATTTATTTATAATTGAACAAGATACATATTCTTGTTGAGGATTACAGTCACGTCAATACATACATAAGATGTAACTGTGAAGCTAAAGAATAAATGTTTTGATGATTTTCTCCTAAATCCACCATGACACTCAAACAACTGAACAAAATAAAAAGGAGTTCTTAATGTCGAATGTCTCCATTTAGCACCCTAATCTCTGATCAATAACCCTTAGAAAACACTCAATCTAAAGCCTTTTTAAAGCTTCTGAGGATCAAAATAACATGTCTTATGTTAAAACTAAAAAAAAAATAAATCAAAGAAATTACTAATAACCTCCACTGAACATCTGTAATTACATGTGAATACAAGGACTCACATTTATAAATGTCTCTTTAATGCTTATTATCCAGGTGATTAACCAAAATTCAAATAAAATTATTAACAAAACACAAAAGATAATAATCATCATTGACCATGATCTGGTAACTGCTTTGCTTGATTAATATTACATTTTGTTCGTGTTCTCCCGAGCGTAGATCTGATGCTCACAGCTGCGTCAGAAACCAGACATATCTGACAACATACAGGAAACTCAACTCTTCCTTCCTCTGAGCCTTCAGCAAATGAACACTTGACATGATGTTCTCAGAAACTCGTGATGTCACGGCAATGTGTCCACAAGTCATTTGTACGCCAGTTTGTGCCCCCCCCTCAGGCTGCTTTGGAGGCCTCACATGCTCACTGTTTCCCTGAAATCACATGTCTGAATCGCAGGATTCAGTTTGCAACACAGTGGCGGATTTAGCTATTTGGGGGCCCAAGGCGAACACAGACATGGGGGCCCCCTCACACTAAATTTTCGACAATCTTATCTTTAACTGGAGTTGCGAAACTCTCCGCTCTTCTGACATGAGTTATATTCACTTTTTATTAGTCCTCCTCTTTTTCCTGTCTTTCTCTCCCTTTGAGTCCCTTCAATATTTGCTCTTCTTTCTGCTTCGACAATCTTATCTTTAACTGGAGTTGCGAAACTCTCCGCTCTTCTGACATGAGTTATATTCACTTTTTATTAGTCCTCCTCTTTTTCCTGTCTTTCTCTCCCTTTGAGTCCCTTCAATATTTGCTCTTCTTTCTGCTTCCTGTCAGTGCTCCTGTGCTTTTGCCTTTCTTTTTTTCCATTTTCCATTTTGGTCTATGTTTTCCTTCCTTTAAACATTTTTCCATTGTCTTTGCTTTTCTGCTTCCTTGTGATGTTTACATTGAAAAACGACGTCACTTTCAAAGTGAAGATTGCTTTTTTAAAGCAAGCTGCTTCTTTCTCTTATTGGAGCCACTAGGATAACTCCATTTCATCCTTAGTTTTGACTACTGCTTCGAGTTTGTTATGAAAGCTCCCGCCTCTCTTCTTCTTTTTTGTGGTCTTATGGCACTTGGCAAACAAGAATTTGGTGCATTACTGCCACCAACTGGATTGGAGTGGAATGACTACCAATCACTTCCTGTTTGTGCAATAGGAATAGTCCATTGTGGCATTAACAGAGGGGGTGCCAGCAGTCAGGGCTAGGGGGGCCCCCAACAGAAGGGGGCCCCAGGCGGCTGCCGACCTATGCCTAATGGTAAAACCGCCACTGGCAACAAATGAATGAGATATTTGCTGTCACTTTTTTGGGGTTTCACCCGATATCCAAGCTCTCAATGACTCACTTATAAGTGCAGCAGGAAGATGGTGGAAGCCACTAATGGCGTTTAAATAAACAGCTGCAAATGTAAAATCTCTGAAGAGCGAGACAGGAAATGATTCAGAGAATCTGATGAGTGGGGCTGCAGTTAAATAACTTCTGGTTTCACTTTACAACTAAAAGCAGTGCCTCAGCTCTTCAGAGGTAAATCAAAAACATGGCTGGGCTTTAAAGAGTAAATAACCCCCAAAACAACGTTTTTTTTTTTTGTTTATAAACTGTATAATTGGGTCTTTACAAATGTAATATTTCTGTTTCTGTGCATTTTTTGACATGTTTGTGTAAACTTGATTAAATCTAGATCTAGAAACATCTTAGGGCTGCCCCCTGTGGGTTGAACTGTGGCTACTGCATTTTAAATTTATGATTGACTGGGGCTGGTACAATTCCACGTCATCAGTACAGTCTCCTCCTACTCCTCCTCCCTCCCGCGATGGAAATTCCCCGCACTTGGCCATGCCACTCTGTGCCTCCTGGCAACGCCCACTTTCATGGCATGTTTCAAATCTTGACTAAGGGTGGAGTTACATTTTCTGATGGTGTGCAGTCCCTCTTTAAGGGAAGCTAAACTAAATACTTGACTTACACATTTATTTAATCCAGAAAACAAATAAAACTGTTTAAAAGCCGGTTTGGTATTTAGAATAAAGGTTGAAAGTTCTTCGTGAGGCTGGGACCATCTGTTCCTCTAGAGCAGTGGTTCCCAAACTTATTTAGCCGCGCACCCCCTTCTATGTCCCGACCATGTCGACGCACCCCCCCAGCCCCCACATCAGGGCATGGCTATATATATATATATATATATATATATATATATATATATATATATATATATATATATGTATGGTGACATATGACAGACTTCTCTGAGCTCTGCAGCCATTACACTTTTCACCTCGCGCACCCCCTAGCACCCCCGGGGGTGCGCGCACCACACTTTGGGAATCCCTACTCTAGAGGTTTAAGGGTCTTGTTTATGGAGGATGGAAGGATGGAGCTGCCCTGGGACACACTGGCATTACCAGTCCCTCTCACCACAACCAGTAGGTAAGGAGGATGAAGTGTCTTGTCACAACGACTGCGTCAGAATAACGGGGATGCAAATCTGCAACCCTCTGGTTTTGGGGATGAAAAATTAACTCCTCTGCCACCATCACCTGATTTAGAAGCAAACCCAGCCACTGTGGTACCACTGCTGACCACACCCCCTACAGGTCACAAATGTCATAGCGTCCTGGTCAATGCCTCCCTGCCTCACCCATGCAGGTAGAAACAGAGCACCCCTGGACACCTGTGTCACCCTACAGTCTGATCCTCCACACCGTTTGCAGTGGATCTTCTGCGTCGGCGTCCCCTCCACCCCTTGAGGAAGCTGTCTCTCACTCACACCTTGTGATGAAAACTCCTCTCTCAGCTGCCGGAGCTCTGGACTGGCCATGTCCTCCACAGACATCTTGGCAAAGTCCTGCGGCAGCAGAGAGCCACTCAGTAGGCCCTGGCACAGGTGAGGACTTTTGGGATTCCTCAGGTTTGCGACTTTGCTCCTCACACAGGTTTTGTATTTGAGTCTGCTGGTTTTGTGGAGGTCATGGATGTGCTTTTCAATGTCTTCAGCCAGCTGCTCCGCCTTGATCTGATCAGGAGGTTCAGGATGGAGGGCAGCTAAGAGAAGGTGAACGCATTTGGTCCTCACAGAGTCCGACAAAGCAGAAGTACCCTGGAGGGGACGGTCTGCCTGCTGTTCTGGAGCACGTACTCCACCATCTCCATCCACTTGGGCTGAAGAACCTGCAGGATCTTTTCTCTCATCTGAGTGTGTCCCTCCTGTCCTCTCACAGCTGTACTGTTTCCTCCACCTGGACAACAAGCTCTTAACCCCCTTCCTCACATTGGTGTCTGAGCAGGTCTTCAAGATTCCATAGAGGACTTTGACCAGTTCTGTTGTTTCCAGCTGCTCTGCTGTGATGTGAGACTTATCCAGGTCACCAAGGAGGGTCTGGATGTCCACGAAGCTTCGGTCTGCAGCCAGCTTCTCCATCTGGACAGCAAGGTGGACGATTTCCTTTGTGTCCATCATGGCTGCAGAGAATGTTATCTATTTTAGACCTTGGCAGGATGCATGTCTGTTATGTTTGATGTCCTAACGTAGATAGAGATGTCAGCAACACGCTTAAATACAGAATAAATGGGTTTAGACTGATTTACCTGAGCTTCTTCATGAGTTTCAGCTTCTTCCTGCTAACTGAGAACCTCAAACAAGGGAGCAGCCATATTGTTTTTGTCTTTCATCTATGAAACTAACTACATGCACCACTAGATGGAGCTGCTGACTCACTCACTCTGAAGGTTCAGCTGAAAGTCTTTCTGCATTTATGGGGAATAAAGTTTGTAATGTTTGATTTGTAAGTTCACCACAGTAGATGTGCTGCAGGATTATAGCTTTTGTAAAAGGATTCAGACGTGTGCATTTGGCTTCTAGGGGCGTTTATTCCCACAGCAAGCACAAACCCTTTCTTTAGACTACAATTCCTGAAGGTGTAAACACATATTTAATGATTAAAACACACTAATCCTTGGGATTGAGACCAACTTCATCATTTCTAGGTGAATGCAGCATGTTTGGACTCTGCATGCAGAAACAGGCCAAGCAGCCTCCAGACAAGAATCCAGGAGGGTATCTGGTAACAAGACGGGGCAGGCTCCTCAGCTCCGGAGCAATCATAGGTTATGAAGGCATGTTTGTGGTTTTAAAGTTAAGACCAGAGATTTTGTTGTACGTCAAACTGCAGAAGGGGCAGCTAGTTGTTATCCTCAGAGTGAGCCGCTTTAGAAAAGCTGCTGCATCGCCCAGAGAGACATGGGCTCACTGGATAAGAGAGCACAACTGATGTTGCTCCTACATTGGGATTGTGTAGCAAACTCTGCGTTTTTAACAGTGTCTCTATAAACAAAGTTGTGATTAATAATGTTTGTACTAACAGTAGATAGCTTTCTGAAAAGGCTCAGTTTGGTGAAATGTTTAACATTCCATAAAACTGGAATAACTTTGGGAATGTTACGATATTCCAATTGAACTTGACTCTTAGATTCGCCAGAAGTGCCACATTTTGCACGTGAAGTTTTCCAAGTGAGCATTAAACTGTATTCATGAAATGATGCTGCATGAACCACTTCCCTTGCACTAGCTGTTAGCAATTGTCAGTCCGGTAGAATGAAACTAATTTCTCTGATTTGAGGCCTTTCAGTAACCTGTCTTTAACTTCTTCTCAGAGACTGCCTTCAAACTGGCTGGAACACTAAACAACCGCCTCAATGAATGCTAGCTTCATGCTAACTGTTAATTAGCTGTAGCTAACTTGTCTTATGGGCCATTCCCATCTGTACCGGGTCGGCCCGGGCCGGGTAGCACCGGTCGGCCCCAGCCTGGCCCGGAAACAGTCCAATGGTCTCCTGTACCTCACAGCCATGACTGGTGTCTCTAGCTTCTCTAAATCATTTTGTTTCTCACACAAAGGTAAAACAAATAAAAGATGTGTAAAGTGAGGCAACTCAGCATGAAACTGGGGTTTATGGTAAGTTTAAATATGCAACAACAGAAATGCACAAACGTATAAACAAAGCTCTACAGCTCTGGGGGTAACATAACTGTCAGCGTGACATCACCATCTTAAACTTTATTTGGAATGTTTTTTTTTCAACATTCATGTATCTGGTGCCAGCAGAAGCATCAGCGGTATGAGGGAAAAGCGATAAAAGCTTCAGGCTCTTAAACAGCAGCCTTAAAGGAGGCTGGAGCTTCCAAGAAGCTTTTAACAGCTTTAATGTCTCAAGTTTCCAGAAAAAGGGGGAAGTGTGTCGGCCAGAGGAGTTATCTTTCATTTGGGACAGGAAATGTGCTATTTTAGACTTCTTGAGCTCTTTGTGGTTAGGGACAACTCCGAGTCTTCAGAGCAGTCCGGCCACACACGCCTGGAATTCCCAAAAACACGCAGAAGGACCTTATCAAGTCATTTCTCTGCCCGTCTGCACTTGAGGTTTCCTTCCTCATCAGTGAGAGTGGAATTTTACCAGCATGCAGGAGCACCACTCCCCAGTAGGGGGCGCTCTTGATTCTGTGCTGCTTCGGCTGCTTCTGACAAAGACTATGAGGAAGTGGGGTCTGTAGTCCCCGCCTTGCTCCAGCAGACCACGCCACAAACATGATGGCATGTTCGCCTGAACACACACACACACACACACACACACGCACACGCACGCGCGCGCGCCCTGGGGGATGCCTCTTGTTAAAGAGATCTACTTCAGTCATGACAGGTTGGCATGTCCCAACCAGGGCACATGTATCATAGTATGAGGTTCCGAAAGTGCCGTGCACAAGAAGAGCATGAAGAGGTGATTGAGAAAAAAACAATGACATTCCAACCAGCTTCTCAGTTCTGTTTCTCGGAGCTGTTTTTGGGTCATTTTGGTTCTGCTGAGGATGAGACGCAAAGTCCTCAACAGTCATGAGACCTGAAAGTGCTTTTATACAGGATGTTGTCCCTCCTGAGTCCAGTTGAAGACCACTTTGGACATGTCTCCTCCTATACTGTAGATGTCTAGAAACGATCTCAGATCAAAGACAGTGACATTGTGACCATGACAACAGAGTGTTTCTCTACTGCTGTCTGACTTAAGCCAGGTTTCAGATGCTAACATAAAAAAAAGTTTGTGGCTTTTTATGCAGCAGATGATCAGCTGTGTGTGTGTGTGTGTGTGTGTGTGTGTGTGTGTGTGTGTGTGTGTGTGTGTGTGTGTGTGTGTGTGTGTGTGTGTGTGTGTGTGTGTGTGTGTGCTGTTCCTTTCCCATCACACCCCCACACCTTAAAGACCTTGACGGTGATCACTCATGACTGGAGTGGAAGGGTTTTTCATTTTCCGCTGCCACCACATGGCCTGTGTGTTTTGACTGACACCCTGCTAGTTTCTAGTGCTCCTCTGCTTTCTATTTTGGCGCTAACAGACAAGGTGGTGTCACAGGCTTTAACTTTTACTGATTACCAGGAAATGAGACTCTCCAAACACGAGATCACTAAAAAGATGCCTGTTATGTCTGCAGCGGTGGAACATAATATTTGTCTCTTTCTGATAAACGTTGGTGGAAGCACTCTGAGAGATAGCAGCTCTTGTTGACCTGAAACATGCAGAAAATATAGATTTTTTTTTATTCTGAAAGACACAAGTGTGCTCTGTTTCCACAGCCATATGGTCCATCCTGAGGACAAAGAGTTATCATTGATTCATCACATTTGTTTTCCCATGAACCCCACCCTACGAGACAACTGCTGGGCCTTGTGGGAAATCCCCCAACAGCTTAGCAGCGAGTAACCACATCCTCCCTTTAGCATTAGTGCAACATCCAGTGAACATTTATTTAGAATGAGATCGAAGTCAGTGCTCAGATTTACACATGGAGTAATTATACACAACCTGCAGCTGGGTGGCATTCACAACATCTGCCATCTAACTCACACTGTTGACCAAACTCCTCTGTCCAGGAGACAAGTTTCCTTCTTTAATGTGACTAAACGCAAAAACAATTGGATCAGGATTCTACTCTAAACTCTGAGTACGACAGAATAAAATGGTGCTTTTTGGAAAGAAGACCTCCTCTTCAATCCTGGTGTTCTTAGTAAGGGACGTGCAAACAGTGTGTTTCTTTACTTCAAGTTTCTCTAAATGAACACTGATGTACTGTACTGTGTACACATTGTACTGTATCATATCATATTGTATCATATCATATTATATCATATCATATTATATCATATCATATTCAAGTTTATTTATAAAGCGCCAAATCACAACAAGTGTCGTCTCAAGGACCTTCACAAAGTAAACATTCCAATACAGGTCAGGTCATTAAGCCAATCAGAAAAAAGTTTCCTATAGAAGAAACCCAGCAGGTTGCATCAAGTCACTGACTAGGGTCAGAGTCTTTACAGCAATCCTCATACTAAGCAAGCATGCAGCGACAGTAGAGAGGAAAACTCCCTTTTAACAGGAAGAAACCTCCAGGGGATCCTGGCTCAGTATAAGCAGCCATCCACCGTGACTCACTGGGAATGGAGAAGACAGAGCAGACATACACACACACACACACACGCACGCACACACAACATATATACCACGCAGTGTTTCTATGGTTGCATTGTGGTTTCTTAGTAAATATTCTATTTGGTGAGAGATAAACTTTATTATATTTATTCTAGTGAATCTATAATTAAACGGGTAAACTGGTATTGAATCGTATCATATTGTATCATATTTTATGGATTTAATCACATACAACATATTGGTACGTATTATGTCTTATCGTATTGTTTCTATGGTGTCAGATTGGATCATGCATCGTATAATTCTGTAATGAGTGTTTCTGTATTGTTTTGCCTCATCTATCATATTGAACTCTATCGTATTGACTGTATTGTATGGTTCTGCATTGTCCCTCGTCTTGTTATCTTTGGTTTATGGAAGTGTGGGTGATGGAGACCTGACCCCTGAACCAGAGGTCATAGTTATGTCTGTCCTAACCCAAAGACAGCAAAGAGGTTTGGTTTGTAGTCTGCTTTCTATCTTAGCTCTCTCTTAACCACACAACAGTTTAGAGTCCACGTCCCAGATGATGTTGATTGTAAATCTCTCGTTTCCACCCACACTCACTCCTGAATAAGGTCCTGAGTCCAGAAACTCTTCCACTCAGAGACGGACTTCTCTCTGGGCAGCGAGTTGTAAATCCACCTTTTCTTTGGTTGAGAACCACGGCCTCAGAAGGATGACGGTTACATGTAAAGGTGCACACTTGTCCTCCAGTGACAACGTTCTAAACATGCATCCCAACCGAGATTCCCACCATTGTAAACAAATCTGGTGTTATGGCCATGTTAAGGTCCTCTTTAGACATTTAAGTTCTGCTATTCTGGCATCAGAAAGGTTACAGGAAGTGCTTTTGTGGAACAGAAATATCAGTGAAGCTTTCAGGGAATAAATGGATTTAATATTTACCATTTCTGTTGCAGCATCTTTACCCTTTTGTGTAGAAGGGAATCAGTGGGGCTGTTAGAAAAAGGACCAAAGGAAATGGAGGAAGTAAAACCAGCAGGTCGCGCTTATGTTTGGGAGTTGACCGACATTCGCTGACCTCATGTGCTCCGTGTTACTTGTTGATAAGTGAGTGAAGAAAACATTTCCTGTTGGAGTTTACTGTTGATGCGTTCAGAAAGCGAAGGACTGAAAAGAAAA